CCCCAAAACCCCAAAACCCCAAAACCCCAAAACCCCTCTTAATTTATGTTTTATTGATTCCCGCATTATTCATGTGGTAATAAAAAAGCTAAAGAGAGACCGGGGATAAGGATAATATTCTTAATTTAGCAAAATAGGCGCCATCTATCTCCTTCCAAGAGCAGGTGTAGGCTTCTTGAGACTTCCCTTCGACATGGAGGAGAACTTCCCTGAGTTAGACTGCTTCTCATACCATCCTATATATTCCTGGAATTTAGTAATAGTCATAGGCTTCTTTCTAGCAGCCTTCACTTCCGCCTTCTTAGTTACAGGGGGAGGAGCCTGCATTGGCTTGAACTTAGAGTTCTTAATGTCCTTTACCTCAGGCTTCTTTTGGAACTTAATAATATTCTCAATAGCTTTCTTAATATCATCAGGAGTTTGTAATCTGAGAGGAGGCTCTTCTCTCATTTTATTTTTATTCTCAAGTTTAGCTTTTGAGCCAGCATATTGAGAAGAATATTCATTCTTCATATATTCTATGACTTCCTCCTTCTGGATAGTGGAGAGCTCAGGAATTTCCTTCTTAACAAGTTCGTCGTAGTCATACAGATCGTCGACCTGAGGCGACAACTCCTCCTGCTCCAGCCTCCACTTGTTGTGTCTGTTGGTGGTCCTCTTCGACTCCTCCAAGTCTTCGTACTCAGGTAGCTCCTGGTCGAAAGTGTTGGTGGCTGTTTCCTTGCTCCTGAAGTGTCTGTAGATTGCGAAGTCAAGCTTCACATCGTTGTCTTTGTAAATGTTGACGAGGAAACTGTTACAAGTCATCTTTGATGAGAAGTTAGGCTTGAGTTCATCAATAACGAGCTGGATTTCCATATTCAAGTAAGACAAGGGATTGTTCTCTGAATCAACATCGATCAAGTTCAGCGACCATGAGGTAATAGTAATGAATTTACCATGCAAATCAGTCAAACCTATCTTTGGGTACTTTTTATTAAAATCCGCGATACAGGATTTGGTAAAATAAGTGGTCACGAAATGATTTCCATCAGAAACAAAGAATTTGGGAACTGATGTATACACATAAGCTGTAAATGGCTTTCTCTTAGCTGGAGAAAGCATATTGAACCTTCCATTATTAGCCAACATCTCGGCAAATAACTCTTTGAAGATATGGGTATGGTTTTGGGCAACTGGCATTAATATTTTAAATTATTTATTTGATTTTTACAGGAAAACTATTTGTTCAAAAAATCAAATTCAGATGGGGTTTTGGGGTTTTGGGGTTTTGGGGTTTTGGGGTTTTGGGGTTTTGGGG